CCCCCCCCCCCCCCCCCCAACCCGCTTCTGCCTCCTTACTCACGTCAATTCGGCAGTTTTGAAGATCGTAATCGTACCGCCGGAAGAGTACTCCGAAGGAACTATGATGAACATACGTATGCTAGTCGTGAAGTTCGATGAGGCGTAGATGAAAGCAGCGACCACGATCCGAGGATGATCGAACATAAAGGAAGCAGGCAAACCAAATAGCAGCCACCGAGACTAACAATTGATGCTGATATACATCTGAGTCATCCTCACCAATAAAGCAGCATGTACATATCAGCCGTCCTCACGTAACAAAAAAACAAAGACTTCTCCATCCAATACGTATCTCTACGCGGCAGTCAGAGTTCATCTTACTACCTAGTCGCCGGCAACCCCCCCCCCGCCCCCCCCCTGGAATTCAAAACTAGAACACAACGGACTAGGAATGAAGGTCTGCCATACAAATGCATCCGACGACGGATGGTGCTGGGTCTCCGTTAACATGTCTGCCTCTAACCCTGAAACGGGACAGACGAGGGAGAGAGGGGTGCAGCGGCTGGTTCTACGTTGGTACCCCACAAAGAATGAGAAAAGGCCGCCCGGAAGAAGGGAAGAGGCGAAAGAATACATAAAAAACGCGACTGAAGCCACTCATCACTAACGATAAAACGGGAAAAAGTTCATAGAGCTACCAGTGACAGCAAGGGTGGAAATCCATCCCAAGTACTTGGGCGCGAGTGCGCAGAGATTGCAGGTGAATATCACATCCCTCTTGCTGTGCTACTGCGACAGAAAGTACGAAGGAGGCCCCGACGTCCAACCCACTCCCACCCACATTTGAACACTGCGGAGGGACAACAACGGATAATCCATTACCCGTGTAGCCGAACTACCTAGCATAGAATCTAGCTAGAACGTCCAAATGTCGAAGTACAATATGGGCCACGCGCAACAGACTAACACCGCCCAAAGGTAAAGCAGGAGACAAAATAATCTTATTGTAATGGGGCAAACCCCTTCTCGCGGCTACACGAGAAGGGAAACCACTAGTGTCACGGCGGTCTGACTGGGCGGGGAGAGTAGCAATGGAGACATCATGCGCCGGCGCAGCAGCTTAAATCGAGGCCAGCTAAATCACAACGTCGACTGGAACCAGAGTGTGCCAATGCCAAGCCTAAACACGAGAGAGATACAATGCCATGGGATACCACTCGTCTTTCCCCATCATCTTCAAATTACCCTATTCCCGAAATCACCGTCGTTCTGTACTCGGCCGTGCACCTACCTACCAGCCGGCAAGCAAATACCCCAACAACATCATTTCACATAACAACCACTACGACCTACCTCAGCGAGAAGCCCAACCACGGAACGAGCACCCACTACCCAACAAAACACAAAGCGCAAAACGCAAGTTGAGCTGAAACCCCGACAAGGCAATCCTACACAGTGCAATCTCCTAGTAGTGAACACCCCGTGTGACCACCCGCCATCGCCGTCGTAGGGTTTGTCCTATCCCTGCACGCGTCAATTCCACGGCAAAGTCATCTACCTTCTTATTCAAGAAGGGAACACAAATGAAGTGCGACATTTGACGCACCACACCGAGGACGCGCATGGGTACTGCTAAAAAAGAATCGCGTCTTGTGCACAGCAGCCCGAAAATCTTGTTCACGCGACTTCTTTGCGGCAAGAGGGGCACTGTGAACTGTAGTTAAGAAGCAACGTGTGCGCGCAAACCCTGGACAGGGCAAAGGGGGAGGAGGGGGGGCGGAGAGGGGTTGTCGTTATGAAGGCGCGTTACTAATGTCTTACATTCCACATGACGACTCTCAGGGACAGCCTCGGAAGTAAAGCAAACACCGTACGCCCTAAGCAGAACGTGGTATCGAAAACGATAAGACCAGTGGCGAGAAGTACACGAGAGATGGCTTCGGGTTGTGCGCGATAATAAAATAACAATATATCAATGATGATGCCCCAACCATCGATCACCTGATAATGTTTGCACGGCGCTAAACCTGACCTCAGCGATATTCGCGAGCGGCGGTCCGGCGAACGTACACCCAGAACGGCCGAATGCAAGCAGGACTATGTACGATACGCGTTAAGCTTGTCTGGACGACACAATACACACACCGGGCAGATAATAAATGCATTCTTAATGTGCACGGAATCAAGAATGGGACCTAAACAAGGAGGACATACATACACCGGCCCACACGCTTACCAGTGGAAGACATGCCCGCAGGGAAGAGTTGTCCGGCCCTCACAAGGCGTAATGGAGTCGAGGCAAATGGCGCAGTCGTCATACTTCTTGCGCTTGAAAGAAGTTTTACGCTTACGCTTCCCCTTTCCCTTCTTTTTCTGCTTGACCCTCCCGTCTTTAAATCCGGCGTCGTCCTCACCGCCCCCTCCACCCTCCTCCTCTTTAGCCTCCTCCTCCTCCTCCTCCTCTTGTTCCTCCTTCTCCTCCTCCCCTTTTTCCTTCTTCTTCTTCTTGTCCTCCTCCTCCCTCTCGAGGTCTAGCATGTACTGTAAGGCGGCCGTCTCGTCCTCCTCCGAACTCGGGAGGACGGTAGTGGTGTACATGTCGAACTCCCACTGGGTGAGGCCTTTAAAATGCACGCGTACGGAGTGGGCGTAAATAATCAGCATCCCAGCGTGTAGCAGTTACTCCACCACGAGGGCCTTACCCAGACGTCAGGCGAGCGCGTACTATTTAGACCTTCGTGCTGGGGGACACCTGTATCCTCTTATCGAACTACCGTAAGCAAGTGCACCATTTTCAATCCCGGGGCGCACGCGGGAATTTAACAGACGGACGGCACGCAAGTGTACAGACGTTTTATCTATCTGGCTGGTGCACGCCCTTTATCCCTACAACGAATTATGGACGGAGTTACAAGACATGAACGACACGAGATACTTACTTCCTGTGAGGTCGGTCACGACGGGCGACAACGACTGCAGCCGCAGAATCTGCTCCTGGCTCAACGTCGGCGTCGGCGTGTCCATATCGAACTCGGAGTCGTAACCGGCTTGTGCGTCCCGCAAGCGCCTCTCCGCCTCCCTGGCCCGCCGGGTCGCCTCACGTGCTAGCCTCCTGCGTTCTATGTCCCTCATACCTTCGTCCACATGTCGTACCACCGCTTTGGTAGACTCAGGAGAAGGCGAACGTGAAGCACCTGCCCGAACAGCGTTGCCCCCGGCGAGGTCGATGACACTCGGCACCACCCGAGAGGGTCGCCTGTCCCCTGTCGCCTGCGCCGCGGGCCTATCGGAACCGCTGCTGTCATCTCCGGCAGTAAGCAGAAGCGGACTCCGCGAGGGAACGCGCGGAACGGCCTCCGAAGGGCGCCCGTACTGCCGGGTGGTGGGAAGTACGGAGGGCGCCGGTCTGCTGCCGGGTTGGGGAGACGGCGAAGTTGTGCGTCGGCCCCTCGGTGGATCAGGCAGGACTTCGACAGTGGTCCGTTGGCGCCTCGAGGCGGCGGACCCGGGGAGCCTCAGTAGCGAACGCGGCCGCCTCCACGGAACCCGCGAAGGACCGCTGGAGGCAGCTCCGGTGTGATGGGCAGATCCGTCACCGGAGGACGAACCGCCGGACTGAATCTGCGCCTGAGGTGTGCCCTGGGGGCTGGAAGCATCAGACGCCGCAGCAGGCAGCTCGACGACTGAAGACCTAACCCCTCGCTTCGACCGGTTGAGGTTGAGTGCAGATATCATCATGTCGCTTATTTCCGACCTGCTCATTCTGTGCAAGCATGAGTCCGAACGGAGACCAAATTTTCGGGTAGGAACGGAAACACACAACTTGTCAAAGCGGGTTTGTGCATCGAAACACACCACCCTTTCGATCGGCGTCGTCACAAAATATCCGGACGCGCAGGAGTTTGTCCACGGGGGTTGGTACCTGCTGTAGATAAGGGTTATGTATTTCGTACGTCGCGCCGGATGGAACCACTGGAGCAAAGCGGCGTTTGCAGAATGACGTCCGTTGTGTGGAAGAGGTCGGACAGGCCAAATCCAGTACAGTGAGAACTTGACTACTTCACCGGTTTTCAGCGTGAAAATATAACCCCAACTACCGGTGCGATGCATCGTAGCTCGTTTGGCCGTCGGAAGACAGTATCAGGTGACCGCTGCCTGACGCAAACGTCGTAGCTTACACTCCGTGCGAGAGCAACGGGGATGATGACATTTGCTACGAGGTCGATTTAAGCTCGTGGCGCTCGTTTCTTGTTCCGTTTTTGTCGTCAACGGATACAATTTAAACTGCGGGCAGCAACAAATCACCCATATCGGGGCGCGATTGGCTGCGATACGTACGGAGCGAGGTGGGTATGCTGTTGCCACGTGCGGACAAGCCCATTTACGGCGTACGATGTTCTCCATTTAGCAGACTGCATTGTGTTGCAATTTGCGCCGGGAGGGACGGCCGTTCGAAAGACAAGACTAGCCCCAATCCCCAATACACCAATACTACCGACCTGCTACCCAACATGTTCGGTGCTCCTACCGCAGGCAACATCGACACTACCTCCAAACACGCTGCTGCGCCACGTAATGCCAGCGCGTCCACACACACATTTATACGTGCGTTATTCCTCTCACTTTTTAGGAGCTCGAACAGTCGTCGTCACTTCAGTCGTCGTTGTCGTAACTGTTGTCTTGACCTTGCGCTCCAGCTCGACTTCCTCGCTACCCAACCGTTCGTGGGCATCGTCTTCGTCGGAGTCGGTGTCATGAGAGACGACCGTGGTAGAGGTGCGACAGTGCCCCGGCCCGACTCCGCCGGTACCAGGTAAGTCATCGTCCTCCCTATCCCGACCACTACCACCTCCCCCGGCGCCTCCGAGCGATAGCATCATCTTGTAGACGGATGTGAGGCTGTGACGGGGGCAATGGGTTGAGCAAGTTGTGGTCTTGGGGGCGGAGACAAACCGGCGGAAAGAGAAAGATCTGTGGTGCATGTGACAATGTGCGGTGCCATTTCGCTCGCTAGACTGTGAGATGCGGGCCAACAGCATCCAACCAAGACAGGCGCGTGGTTCTGTGATTACCGTATATGACACAAGATAACACACCCCCTGCACCGATTTTCAAAGCTCGATTCCTCCACGACGAAGAGGATGCATAAACGAAACAATACGTTTTCGAACAAGGTCTCGACGAGACGGTTCCAACGCCGCCGTTTTCGGCGCTGTGACTCTTCCTGCTGTTGAGAAATTGAGCTTTGAAAATCGGCCAAGGGGGTGTGTTATCTTGTGTCATATACGGTACTTTCGGCAGGTATCTCTTTTTCATCAATATTACAATGACCCAAGGCACCCATCTCTATATTACCCTACAGCACCAGCTGGCATCACTAATATTAATCATCAGTGTATAGAAGTAAGTGCAGTACCCAGCCGTCTTTCATCAACTCTACCACCAACCACATCCCGTTCGACCACGGCGGGTATATCTAGAATGGTACTCTTCAACACCGCATTATTTTATTTTCAATACAAGTAGCTCAATTTATTTTTCAAGCACATGCGCATGCATCAATTTCCCCTCTACCACACCACATCTGGCGATATTTCACCTACCACGGACGATGACGAGCTATGCACCCGCGACCGTCAACACGCTCGGTAGTGCAGTACCCCGGAGCATGGTCCTTTCTGTCTGCACGCGGGAAGTCAATTCGTTCAGGTGTGTGGTTCGTTCGCGCCAGACGTTAAACGACGACCTGGACGGGAACACATACTAAATACGTACGTATGTACAAGAGGATGCTCTAAGAAGAAAATGATTTATCGTGTACAACGCGTACGCGTATGAATACCATGCAAGAGACGCCCAGACGCCTGCAACACTGCTGTCGTCGTGGATCTCCCCACCCCCCTTCATGTGCATAGTACAGTAGCACGGGATGCCCTTTCGCCGTTCCCATCGGGTTACCCCGTGCCTATGCGCCTGTCGTCCCCAATAAACCCACGACGTGTGCTGTACGATCGTAGCCGTTCTGACTTCTCCAGCCACATTCCTCGGGCGGGATAACACGACATCTAGGAACATCTGGATCACGCAAATCCCATGTTGCTGGTATGCGCAGAGAAGAGAACCACAATCTCTCAACTGCTGTCAACGTCGTGGCCTGCACCAGCAGGCTAGACGACAGTGGGCTAGTTAGCCTTACATGACGTACTACGCTTCGTCGCGTATTGTGCCAAGCCATGAACGCAGACCCGAACGAGTATCGAGCGCGGAATGTGAAAGGGATACTGCTGCAACGTATCTCAAACCCTTTTTTAGGCTATTAGGAGCGGAGAGCACCAATCACCCTCCCGCCCGGGGTGCTTCGAGGCACGACCGCAGTAGGTGGTAGACTCACTGTACGTTTGGACAAAGACTTGCCGAACAACCACGATCCCGCGTAGGAATAGATGATAGTCGGGCTACGGCGGCGTAGCCTGCGTGCCACACAGGAGATTGTACTTGGGAAATCGCTTTCCATTTCAAGTCGGCAGACCGCTGTTGTTCTGTCTCACACACTGGCAGACCCAGGAAGGGAATTTGAAGGCACCGAGAAAGAAGCCGCCGAGACAGATATAACTTGGCGTCCGCCAATCAATTGTCTACAAATACTGGCGTTTACTCGGCGTCTTGCCTGTTTTCGATGAGCTTAACTGACGCATACCACACGCCCACACACGGCAGGATAGCAGCAGTACAGGCCAACTGGAATGTATGTGCTAGGAGGTCCGCAACGTCAATCCACACTGAGGGTCGATGACGAGCACGCTGGAGCTACAGCGAGGAGAGGGAGGTCGCACACACACGTACACGCTAGTATCTGTGCGGTGTCCAACCGAACGTTGTAGGCACAAGGTATGGTCTGACAGTAAGACGCCTAGCGCCTTTCCTGTTTCATCGAGATAACAACCTGGTACGTGTGGTCGCACTCAAATCCACGATACCTTGAAACCGAGTAATCGCATAGTCTAGACGATAGCAT